ATAACCACGACAATTGATGTGGGTGCCATTAGAACTTTTGGGGATTAGCAACAGAAAACAAATACTAATAAGAACCTACGCATTTTTAAATTAAGTATCTCGCATTGTGGGTTTATCTGCTGTATTACTTATACTGATCCTGAATATGGATCACTGATTGACAGTTAGTTGTGTGTTGGTGATGAATCAAAGAAAAGCTTTGCTTTTTATTTGGTTTAAACTATGTGAAATGAGCGGTTTCTCTCAGCAACAGTTAGCAGGATCTCCTCCTTCTGGCAGGTATGAGCTGGTAACCCAAGTCATCATATTTCGTGGAATTATACCATAAGCTTGGAAACTCCGCACTGAGCAGCAGAAGATAAGGCAGCATTTAAGCATATCATCAAAAACTAAAAAACATAGATACATGGTATAAAAAGTAGTCAATGCTAATTTCACCATATAAGCAAACTCTTAACTCAGAAATAGTACAGCTGCACACCAAAAGATAAGTGTATTGGGTTTGTGTGGCAAGGTTTTGGTAGCAGGGGGGCTACAGGGGTGCCTTCTGTGAGAAGATGCCAGAAGCTTCCCCCATGTCAGACAGAGCCAATGCCAGCCAGCTCCAATTGGCTGCTGGCCAAGGCCAAGTCCATCAGTGACTGGTGGTAGCACCTCTGGGATAATACAGTTAAGAAGGGGAAAGAAAACCACCAGGAGCCAGAGAGAGGAGTGAGGATATGTGAAAGAAACAGCCCTGGAGACACTCAGGTCAGTGAAGGAGGAAGACAAGGTGGTCCAGGCACTGGAGCAGAGATTCCCCTACAGCCCATGGAGGTTAACAAGTGGATCAACACTGTTTAAAGATGTTAACTCCCTATTCACAGCACGTGAAAGTTGCAGGAGCTCTCAATGCCTCTGCTACCTGGAAATAATCCTCACCCGGGTCAGATAAACTATCATGATTTCTACAAGTGGCAAGGCAGAGCTCCTGTTACAGAATCACAGAATGGTAGAGGTTGGAAGGGACCTCTGGAGATCATCTAGTCCAACCCCCCTGCTAGAGCAGGATCACCTAGAGCAGGTTGCACAGGATGGTGTCCAGGCAGGTTTTGAATATCTCCAGAGAAGGAGACTCCACAACCTCTCTGTGCAGCCTATTCCAGTGCTCTGTCACCCTCACAGTAAGTAAGTTTTTTCTCATACTGAGATGGAACTTCCTGTGTTCCAGTTTGTGCCCATTGCCCCTTGTCCTGTCACTGGGCACCACTGAAAAGAGTCTGGCCCCATCCTCTTGACACCCGCCCTTTAGATATTTATAAGTTCTAACCTTTAATCTCCAGGCTGACCTTTAATAAAATTGCAATTAAAGCAGGCATTGTCACAGCCCCTCATCCCTTCCAACCACCCATAGCTAACACAGAAAATACAATTCCACAGCATCTTGAATAGAATTTTTCTGAGGTTTCTCATGCTCATACCACCCCCAGCATTCCTCCTACCATTCCACAGAGAGGCACACATTGCCGTTTAGTAAACGGTATGTCCCTATACTATAAAGCTTTTCCCTATGTATTTTACTAACAGATAGAAACTTGATACTTACGAATATAAAGTCAGTTTATCCAAATCATTGTGCATATTGAAGGCATACACTTCTCCCAAATGAAAAAGCTTTTCCAATGCCTCATAAATAAATATGATGCATATAAGTGCTGCAAAAGCTTCCTCAGTAAATCGAGTGATGTAACACACAAGGCTGCTGGCATCTGTGGCTACAAGCACTATGCATAAAAATGCAGTCCACAGACCAATGCTAGTTCGCAGGGAGAGGTAGGAAAGATCATAATCCCTGTGTGAAGAAAGAAACAAAAGCATTAACTGAGCCAAACATCACCTATACTATATTCTGTCTGCAAAAAGATACTGAGGTCAAGCTCTACAGGTATTCACCACTTTTCTCATCCTTGATGTTAGTTCTGAAGGAAGCAGAAACTTTTCTGTCTCATCTTCCACCAAAGCAAAGCAACACTGCAGGGTGTTTCTAGAATTGAGAGTGCAACCACCTAGCTTGGGAAGCATCATGGGGATGATCTTTCCGGAACAACCTAGATGCTTTCTCCTAGAGGGCAGATCGATCCCTGCTTACCCCTGCAGAATCAAAGCCAACATCATCTCCATATAGTCAGAAAACAACTTTTATTTAAGTCCTAGCCACTTCTCATAACTGATTTTCTCATGAAGGCTCACCAGTGCCTCAACACTTTGCCAAACCACATCCATCTCTCAGTCTCTTGCCACTGCATTTACATCCTCATGGACATCCATGTTTAACATACATCTGCTTTCAATTACAGCTAGTGTAACAGGCAAGAAAGTCAGAAAGTGCATCAAGCCAATACAAACATCACTTACCTGCAAAATTTAAATAATATTTTTTCAAATACTAGAACTGGTCCGGTGCTCCCCAAAATAGTAAGAGGTTGCCCAGCAAACAGAGAATAGGCAATCCCAGTTAATGAGGCTCCAAAAAGAGACTCTATTGCACTCTGTTTGGGGGAAAAGAAACTGCTGTAACTATGCTGCCTTTCAGGTTAGCATTTAGCATCACATCTGCATAAATACAGTTTTAAGATGCATTAACTTAGAAACAAGATGATGTAAAAACATTGCAATTCATATTAATGTTTGAGACAAGAACAACTTAACATAGTTTTGCAGTAACAATACCATGGACAAAAGATTTTGAAAACTTCACTCCTAAGAAACATAAAGCCATCCAAAACCATGAGAACAAGTTACTAGTCCTGCTAGCTACGGAGGAAAAAGATACCAACAATTACTACAAATTAAAAAAAATTACTCAACACGTAGTTTATGGAAAGAATTACCTGTCTCTGTAAAGAAAATAGGTATGTATATATATTGCAGCATACCCGTACCAAAACATGATATGGTGTGCAGTACCAAACCTGCATTAGTCAACCAAGCATTACAAAAGAAAAAAACTGACAGGCAGAGGTGCAGGGGAAATTACTGAATAATATTGGGTTATGTATACATGACACCAAAAATAGATGAGCAGTAAACCAGTGTCCCACCTGGTAATGCATTTCTTTTCATTGAAACAAGGTATCTGCTTCAGTTTTTGAATTAAAAGTTTTAGTATAATATTTTCTGCTAAAAAAAGTTATAATGCACTTCAAAGGAGAGGGGCAGGACTTTTTAGATCCTAAAATGCTATCAAAGGTACTTGAAAATAGTTAACTAAACCATTTACAACTATGAGAAGTCATGGATTACAGATTAAAGGGTTCCTGGTGGAATTTTTATTTTGCAATTATGTAAGCCTAAGAAAACAGTATTTATGCAAACTTAAACCCCAATTCAGGAAAGCATCTAAAATTGGGCAAGATGGTTTGCTGAACTGGGGCTATTAAAAATGAAAACATGAGTCCTTTGTTCATTGCATAAGGGTGGAGGGGAGGAATACATATAATCCTAGTCTCTTGTTCTGTTACCTTTGAATTAGTGCTTTTGGTTAGCCAATGCATTAACCTTGGGGCTCTCAATCAGCGTGGCAGGGACAGGAGTACTGTGGAGGTGATGACCTCTAGGAATGTGAGGGAAGGTTTCAAACACAAACTGTGTACCTTACAATGTCAGCTACTGTGCTTGAACATGTGTGTGCAGTAACTAAATTTTATATTCAATGATGCACACCAAGTATCTGAAGGCAGGAACAAACCTGCAAACAATTCCAGATAGCTAAAAGAAAGAAGGTGTTTAAGAATCAAGCTTTAAAAGGAGCATATTTTCATTATTATACATGATGTACATTCAAAAATTACATCAACATTTTGATAACCATTCCTACATTTAGAGTGGCAAAAAGTGCACAGAAAAGATATAATTTATTTCTGTATTTGCTGTCAGCTTGAAGCGCTACATCAAAATTCTGAGTCAACAGCATTACATGAAAGAGATAAAGTAGTTAACTAAATATAGTACAAGCTTAAAAACTTGATCGCAGTATCAAGAAGCATCTTACAGCATCATAAGCTTTACCAGAATCTTAAAATTTGTAGAGGATATGTCTGAATACATCCTTCCCTCCCCCAAAAAGGACAGAGCCTTGTTTCTTTGTGATAGATTTAAAAACAGAAAATACACTTCAAACTAGTTTACTCACAAGCCAATTGACACAAAGTTATGAACATTGATAACGTTAAGTATTCTTTCCCTGCTCCAAAAACGGAAGTGCAATGGTATTTTGGTTAAAAAGGTGTTGGTATCTCTGCTGCCAAACACTGCCAAAATTTTGTACGTTTATGGTTTATATTCAAGTTGCTTGAATGAAGAGTATTTTCTGCTCATAAACCGTAGCCACTTTCTTTTATTATTAACAACACACCATTAGTGAAAGTATATACATTCCTGTCCATTACTTAAATACACAATTGACTGCTACCCATACGCTGCAAGCATTATCATCCTCGTAGGCCTACTACTCAAGGCCAGTAGATGTTCTTGGCTATCCACCTTGAGCCTCTGACTTTGCCTAAAGTAGGCCTAGTGGGATGGTGCACCTTTACTGCTATTCATTATTTTTAAGTAGCCAAAAAAGAAGGCAATGCAAGCCCTTTCTCAATTCATGAAGCCATTCATCCAATAAGGCAGGATAAACATTTTTTACCTCCACTGTGCATCTTCTCCTGTTCACATGGGTTCCCCACATTTTCCACAGCAATTACCTTTTGGGGAAGATCTGCTTTGGGGCAGGCTAATCAAGTGCTGTGGGTAAATTCTTCAAATACAAGTATAAATAAATGAGACAAATGCACACAGTGACTTGCCTCTGAAGGTCTAAAAGCCTGGCCACTACCATTCTTTGTACTCACTATTCTGCCTTGTGTAGCTTCTCCCAGGAGCCCTCCAAAAGTGATTACAGGAGACATACAGGCACAGTATAGGAAAAGAATCGAGGCCAGGCACTGCAGGCTTAATGCATCCTTGAAGTCACTCAAGAAAAAAGGTGCTTTCCTTTGGATGTCAAGTATCAAACCACCAAAAAGCCTAAATAGGTGAGATGAAACTCGTCAAACTGTACACTAAAGGATTCTAGCTAGTTCAAAACTATGGGCTACACATGACTGCCAGTGCCTATTGCCAGCACAAATTAGTTATTTCATAATCCAGATTAAAGCATAACAGTTTAAAATGTAAATAAGAATCTTATCTATTCCAATTCAGTAGTATTCCAAATATAATCAAGCAAGTTACCCACATTTTTTAAAGCTGGCTAGGTATTTTTGTATATGGGCTAGATACTGAAAAAATACCTTTAGAACCAATTTCACCTAAATTATGTTTTAAGTAAAATCTGGATTTTGATATTCAAAACACGGAACAGAAGAAATATGTTAAACCTCAACCAAGACCACTGCATTAATATATTTCAATATTACTACTCCAATAAGTAGTTGTAGCTTTTTGATTTGAATTGTCTACAAACATATGGTTAGGTCTGTAAATAAATTTAGCTCTCATTTTTAACAGTGTTTTCATCTGGAGTATAGAGGTATTCTACAAATGGAAATACAAAACAAAACATACATGTAAGTCAATTCAACAGGGTAAGTTATTAGCTAGAAATTAAAAAGATTTTGGCTGTTTCAAAAAAATTTTCAGGACTCCAAAATACTTGATAGAATTTGCACCTAGAAAAAAACGGAATGT